AAAATATCCGAACCTTATCAGCACTAAGTCAGAACCATTTACTTCAGAATACTCTTATCAAAGAACTAAAGTCCAATTTTGGAGAGAGGTGGGATTAAAAATTGTGTAAATTAATGTTTTTCTTTTCTTTCTCTTCAAAACAATATGAATATACATTGGTTAAATCACTGTTCGAACTCGCAAACGTACGCCAGTTTGTCATCACAAGGCAAGTCGTTAAGCTTGAAGGAAGATCTTTCGACAGCCCCGCAGTCTGAATCCTTTCCATTCCGAGTGCGATCTGGCTGGCCTGAATGCCATTGCGCATATCCTGCTTCCTCCAAGGTTTCTCCTGCGATCATAAAAACAGGATTATTTACCTACTTCGAAAGAATGTTGTTATGCAATTCATCGTGCTTACTTTTATAATTGTTCAGTCATTACTTTCGCAAATGAACACCCATTTAAATTATTTTTTTGTCTGTCAAATATTATGTTCCAGTAATTTAATCATATTCTGATGGGTCTAATAATATAATCAATAATGAAGAGGTGCACAACTGTAGTCTTACAGACAATGTTAGTACCTGAACAAGGTTGTACTTTTTCCAATGTGGATATTAGAATTTGTATTTATTAAACTTCTGCTCAACAGTACAAGGATACTCAACATACAGGGATTCCCAACCCTTTTCTTGCTTTGACCTCCTTTGAAAGAATTGTTGAGTTCATCAACCGCCTTACTTTCTTCTCAGCCTACTCATCTTCATATTCAGCATACATTATCATAACAAAGAATTACGCGTAAAGGACTTAAAGATAACCATTATGCAAATCAATGTTTTTGTAAATAACTCGATTTTCAATAATCGAAGCTGCTTCACCTTAAACTTTAATTAAATGTGGTGTGAAGTTCCCTCAACCACGAGACATATGAGTAGTTACACAATAACCCTAACATTAAAAAAATTAAAAGTTTTGTGTTGTGGGTGTATTTAAGATTTTTTCGACTGCTGGGCTGCAGTTTAAAAAATTTAAAAAACAATTTTACAATTTTCCCGCCTTTAAATCACCTTGACGTTAAATGTTCGTTGAAAATGCCTGCAAGAGCTCTGTGCATTTATTTTAGAGTCTATTATTCATTGTTGTAGCCCCTAGTATTATTTTAAGTTAGGAATATAGTTACAAATTATCACGTTTTTAATGCGTTTTAATCCTTTGTACATCATATGCTAAGGAAATGCGATCGTTTTTGGCAGTTTATAAGCAACCATCCACACAAACCTTGTGTGATACTAGTGTATAGAGAATTACTTCCCAGTCCTACATCGAAGAGATTTCAGAAGAAAAATGAGAAGTTTGCATATTAGGATATACAAAAACAAAATATTATTGCAACCCATATTATGATCGCGATTAACCCGGAAAGGATGCGCCGGGAGAGATGAATCAGTGCATCAACTGACGTCACTGCGGTACATCTGACCGGGAGGTCCTAGGTTTGAGTCCCGACAATGGCAATATTTTTGACTCTAGCTTTTCAGCTAGGTCGAATTCAGGAGGGTACTTCTAGAGACCGGCTGCTCTTCTCGGTTGTTTTCCGTGATTCTTCGATCAACACGAGGCGAATTTCATGGCAGAATCCTAACAAATAGGCCATGGACCGCGCGCGATCTTTCCTTCCTCTTTCTGGTCCTATCCTCACCTCTTACACACGCTAACATGCATCACACAACCCCACATGCCGGGAGACCGGTCGGGAGCTTAGAGCTTGTCTCGGTTGGAGCGGTGGGATATACCTAGCCGGGGAAACCCCTCTAGCCGACGACCGGTCGACATCTAGGCATCTAGGCATCTCGGCATCTAGCGGGGAAACATCACTGCCATCTCCCGAGCAAATAACCACGAACTACACTTACGGGACTAATGACCTCAGTAGTTGACACGCCTGGTATCACTAACCATCAACCAACGAACCAGCAATGAGTCCTAGGCCAAGTAAACTCGGTTTCTGAACGTCATGGGGACACACGGACATTATTACAGAACGAAGGCAAAATGTCTGTCAGTCAGTCCGTCTCTAACAACGGTCGCGGCTAGACAGTTCAAGACGATTTTCTCAATAATTGATATTCTACAATCGATTTAGCTGAATTTGAAACCGATATTTTTATTTTGGGGGTTACTTAATGTGAAACCCCTAAGACATTTTCGGTATTTTCAAACAAATGGCTAAATCGATTTGAAATAAATTTTGTTGCTTGACAGTATGAAGGACATTTGCAATGATGCAGGTCTAATGTTTGATAAAAACCCTGATTTTTCGGAAATTGCGAAAGTTCAATTTTTTTGACTGTTCCAATAATTAAAATATTAAAGACGGAGATTTTTCCCTTAATGAAAACTATTCCTTAAAGATAGAGTAAGAAATAAGGCCGTGTACATTTTTTTCCAAATTGAGTATTATCGCGTAATTTTGCGTGAAAATCCGCAGGAGAAATTAATGCTATTTAGCACCACTAGTTAGGATAGCTTAACCTAAAAGTATAGCTTCTGAAAAAGTTTTAAAGACTTTCTCAACCAATATATTTTACAAATGGGAATTTACCGTTTATTGTGAGATATTTTCCTTCTGTCTTATCTGAAAATCCAACAAATACTGCAGTGTCAAAAGTAGCGCCAGGAATTGAGGATGGTGCTATGTCACTCATTTTCTTGAGGGCATTGGCCTCTTCTTGGGAGTTGAGGACAGCTAGGTGCGCGTCCTCTGCTTCACACGCCAGGCGCGCTTCGTCCCAAGTGAGCGGTGTCAGGTGCAGACGGTACCAGCCCACACCACGCACCAGCTTGTACCCCGTTGGCGGTCGCCTCTCATCAGCGAGAACTGTTAATATAATAAAGATCTCCTTAGCAAAGAGATTATAAGAGGTGCGCGCCCTCTGCCTCGCACGCCCTCTTCCTCCCATGTGAGCGGCGTCAGGTGTAGACGGTACCATACCACACCTTGCACCAGCTCGTACCCCGGTGGTGGAACTGTTAATAGAACAAAGACCTCCTGAGCAAAGAGATTAATAGAGGTGCGTTCCCTCTGCCTCGCACGCCAGGCGCGCCTCCTCCCAGGGGAGCAGCGTGAAGAGCAGACGGTACCAGCTCACACCAGGCACCAGCTCGTACCTCGGTGAAGGCCATTAAAATGGTTGTTCTGACCACGATATTACAAAAAGCTGGCTAATGAATTTCAACGCACAGATTTAAATGCAATGGTGTAACATTACAGTTATGAATAAAATGAATTTGTTATAGACACACAAATGAAGCGATACGAGTTTGTTTATATAAACGGAAGAGCAAATTGTGGAGAAAGAAATTCATTTAAAAAATCTGTATCCGTAATATTTTAGTTGTAGGAAGACGTCGAAAATATATTCATTTTTTGCAATTTTCGTTATTTTAGAGAATTTAACAAAAATCGGTCATGTGCCGTTTTTTGTGATAATTTGCTACGTACTTTGTATTTCTTTATATTGCATAAAAATTAACATGTAAGTGAAAAAATTGAGATAGAGATTTTTTTCTTAATGGAATCTATTCTAAAAATATATAAATTCTTTTGAAATTTTGAAATTTCTTTTTAACAAGTAATATTCACTTGTTCTGGTAGTTAAAGCAATTTATTATTTTTCAAAACAGATTAAAAATTTTTCTTTACATTTTTTTCACAGATAAAGTGTAGGACGCTTAAAAATTGTGAAGATTTAATTTTCATTGAACTCCCTGAAGTTTCGAAAATGGGAAACGTTAGAAATAAGATGATTAGTAAAATGTGGCGTCGCCGATTCTGCAAACTGTTTTAAAGAGAGTTGCAGGTGTTGAAAAAATATGCAACACAAATATGCAAATATGGCCCAAATATGCGATTATTATGATATCTGCGAAATAAAAATATATTTAATTGATTCTAAATGCCTTAAAACGTATAGGATTTGTTGAAATGGGCTCTTTTAGTTAACAGAAAAGATATGTAAAACCATATAATTCACAGTTTACTCATGATAGTGTTAAAATATATTTTATTTACGCACAAAATGTCTAAAATAGTGAGTCATATATTAAATGTTTTGCCTTTTACAATGCATTCCAATGCTTTACTATATGCTACGTTATATTTCTTCAATTTCCATTTAATTCGATGAGATAGTTTATTGACAAAGCTCTAATACTAGCAAAATTATATTTCCATGAGAATTAAATTACAGTATTATTAGTAAAATGTGGCGTCGCCAACGCTACAAACAGTTTTAAAAATAGTTACATGTGTTCAAAATTTCTTTTATACTTTATTTCTTTCATGCCTATCTTTGTACAAATATGTTCTTTTAGTTTCTAGCGTTGGACTTACCAATGAATCGTAGTAGCTGATGTTATACTCCCGTTCAAAAGCTTCCAACAACCAATAGCCTTGTATCTTACCTCCATACGTAATATGAACTGGCCTTATATAATTTCAAAATCAATTTCAAAATTATAATCGCGATAAAAAATACTTGCAGGTTTTGATGCTAATAGTTAAATTTTAGTACAGCTATGATTTTACCCGTGTTTGCTAATTTGCACATAAATGCACATAGCAAATTTGCATTATCACAAATGCTAAATGCAGATCAATCTTAATTACTTCTGAAAATTCTGTCAAATCTTTTAGAACTATGATTCTTACCCGGATTTCTTTAACACTACATATTTTTCGCCCCTAATTTTGAAGAGATTAAAACAGCACAAGCTCTGTTTAATTTGTGTTCACTTCTTCTTGTGCAATTACTCTATTAATTGTTTTTTTACGTGAATCTAGCGTTGTATGCGAATCTAACATTAAAAGGCGATTACGTTCGGATGAAGGATAAATGTTATTATTCATTAATTTAATCTACCATAAATAAAAACCAGTTCAATTCCCCTTAGAATGATCATCTAGATCAAAGTTGTGCGTTTACAATTTCAGTCGTGTTGACCCTGATTAAAGGTTATCGCAAGTTTCGCCTACCAATAATTGTCGTAAGAAGTTGAACAATTTTCCTGTTTTCTTCGGAGAGTTTATTTTGTTCAACAGCAACCCACGCATCTTCAGAATTGCTTGAATTTCCATTTTCTGGAATATTGAAGATAGCCTGTAAAAAGATTGAAAAAACTGCAGTGAATATGTATCTGAAAAAATCAATATTTTTATTGGAAATACAGCAAAAATACAATAAAGAGTACAAGGAAGATAACACTCTCACATCACATTTTGAATTTTGTCTTTTTGATCGATTTTACTATTATGAAACATAATATAAATTAAAATAATTTGAGACAAATATATAAGTGAACAAAAGGTAATTTTTAGCTGCGTTTTCAAATTCATTTGCTAGTCAACCAAGCTTATATAATTTTTCAAAGCCTGGTCCTCTAGTTCAATTAAACACTCTTCCGTAATTCAGTACTCTTCTAAAGAAGAACTAGGTGACTGCGCACACGCTAATAGTACCCAGATTGCGCACACAGTTTGACATAGAACGGTTAAATAAAATGCATATATTTCGCCGCCGATGAATGGAATTTCCAGATGTTTGGCCATCGGAAGAAGAAACAAAAGCATTATTAACTCGGTTTCATTTTCACGAAAAACAAATATTCCATCTACACATATATTATGGTGAGGATATAAGAAACGTTTATAGGAAAGCAATGTAGTATACATAGTTTAAAAGTTTATAAAATAATTATTTATGTCACGAGTCCTGTAAATGAGTCTTAAATAACGAAACCGAAAGGTTAACTGCGAGGTGGAGTGATAGCAAACCAAGTAGTTAACCTTCCGGCTGAGTTTGCACCTACTTTTGCAGATGGAAGATTATGGAAAAAGTAATTAAAACTGCGAGTATTTACAACAATGTCAAACAAAACTGTACATAAGATAAAGAAGCCTGGAGTCCAGATTCTCCCACTGACCCCTCCCGGGTATCTACTTGTATCTTGTACATGATAACATAAATTATTGGTTCGGGACGAACTAAAATTGTTATATTATATAACATTGTATAAAATATTATTGTACTAGAATGTCAAAACTGTCTTCTCCAAAAATGTTATGTATTAGAAGAATGGAAGTGGAATTATTGGTACTAGTTATGTTAAACGGAGTCGGATATTTATTTATTTATTTATTTATTTATTTATTTATTTATTTATTTATTTATTTATTTATTTATTTACTTATTTATTTATTTATATATTTATTTAATATTAGGTTATGCAATCTATGTTCAATTTTTAAAATTTTTCATATATTTATCGACTCAAACATTTAAATATTAATTACAATTTCAAAACGTAATAATCGGGCGAACGTTCCCCCACACTTCCGTACCACCATTGGAACACTGTACGCCAACCGCCTGTCTGCGCGTCGGGAACTTTCCTTGCTCGGCGGCTCGGCTCGGAGTAGAGAAGATTTTTGTGACGTCACAGAGCATTGAATTGGTTAGCACCGCTCTAAGGTACCGACTGATGTCTCTGCAAGTGTGGTAGTGTAGAAATAACTCAGGGTTTTTTTGGCAATCCGTGACACGAAGTGAAGGAACCATATAAAATGTAATAGAACGTTTAAAAAAATTTCAATTTTTTATTACAGTTTAGAAAATATATCCTGTGTTGGAGCGCAAAAATTGCTGTGATTGTTGTAGACGCATTTATCGCGAGTTATTCACGATGGTAAAGTACAAGAATATTGAGGCTTAGTGTATTTTGTAGGCTGCATGTGCATCAAAAATACCAAATACGGCGTAATATGCAATATTTTACTTTTTCGTGTGAAATCTCTTTGATACATCTCTGGGGATTAATCCCTCATTATACACATTACACTTACGGGGTTTTGTGTCCTTTGTTTCTTATAAAAGAGAACGTTTCATGTTTCCTTAGCATATATGTACAATATATATCCTCTCTCTGTACTAAGTTAATAGTAAATGCTCACAATAAAGGTACTGAAAGGTTATGAGGAAAAAGCGTTATCAGTTCTAACAGCTATTTCCACGGCAAATGGTCATTAAGACATACAATAGGCGTTATTCATCATTTACTTACCCTGATGTGTCGGTGACCTGTAGAGTTGCGTCGACTGGATATCGAGAAGGAGAACAACGTTGCCGCTTGGCGTTCCTCTGAGCTGACGTCGATCAGGACGCACAGTACGCCCACTATGGCGGCCCTTGCAACAACGGTTCCCTTGAGCGCCATTTTGCCTCGTCATTGTTCTTAATGTTCGGTTGCCCTTTTTATACTTTCCCCGGGGGAGACCGTGGGTTATTTTTTCTCTTAAATGTCAAAGGTCAACATGTTCGACTCCAACAAGGTTAAAGGGCGAATGTGATTGACAGAGGCGCATTGAAACCACTCCCATTACTTGTCAACAGATTGTGATAAGCAATGTAGGCAAGTTCGTCGAATTTACAAAGCAAATGGTATTAACCCAGTTTCGTTAGACAATGGTACTTTCTGATATTAGTTCACCCTTGTTCGAGCCAGGGCTACCTTTCGAGTTTGCCCTACCATCTTCCTGGCTGCCTTCTGTCGTGCCTGAAGGAACTAACGGGGCCTCCTGCGATAACTACTGCTACCGTGGTTACAATTATCTTCCTGCTCCACAAAAATCAAGTACAGGTTACCGCGCCTGTCTGGTACCGTTATATTCAGGGTGTCCAAAATCTACCGAAACCAAAACACTTCATATTCTAGCTTGAATTTCATAAAGGATGCAAATCTATATTTTGCTTATAAGACATTATTTTCTAGAAAATTGGGTTAAAAAATCATTTCCTGGAGCGCAATTGAAATCACACTGGGGTTGCTCCCGCGTTATCAGTGAAACTGTCGAGTAGTATTGACCGTGATGGAACATCGCGTGTTGCCTACCAGAATACTTCAATCCTCTCAAGTGTTTTATTTGTACTGTTAATTCAATCTAAGAAATCTACTTACAATTTTGTTTAAAAGGATAACCACAGTATACAGAGGTGTAATAATGGACACTGAGTACTATCAAATACTAATAAAAATTAACAAAAAGTCCTGGAATTAAAAAAAAATGTTTTTAGCATCTCTTCGGAACTATTATATATGAGTAAGTATGAGCATGAGTATGAGTATATGAGTGAGTATAAGTATAAGTATATTATACATAACTAGTAGTGGGCTTTACACAGTCACGAAAATTATAGACTAGCGATTGTTACAGGATCGGTCATCTTTCAGCACAATCTCCTCTACCCATTAGCTGTAGTGGCATTTTTTACTACATTCCGTACTGCATTAGTTTTGGTAATGTCGTAGAGTTTTGTTTTGAATTAATTCTGATATGTTTCGTGATTTCTGGCTTCATTCTGACTTTTCTAGGAATTATCAATCCTCTCTTCTCAGAATTCATCATACAAACCTCTCAAATGCAAAAATATTGCTCTTTCCTCCGAGAATGTTCTAACATTCCAGTATTCAATCTCGGCCATAACGCACATTATCCACCACGCATTAGATCCAGATTCACCAAAGATCTCTTTCGCCCAGCCTAATTCATACAACTATTTGCCCCCTTTTCCCACAAACACTCTCCCTTCACCCCCAAACAATAAAGGCAAACTTTTTTTGTCAAGGTATTCAAATATGAAATTATAATAATAGTGACGGGTCAGTCTGAGACCCGCGTTTGCTTGACGATGGCTAAGTTAAGTCATTGTGTGTAACATTGTACTCGTCAAAATCCTTGTAATACAAAAGTCGAACGGGAAGAATATAAACTAAAAAAAACATTCTCCTTTAATCAGTCAAGCCTTCTTTTACGCGGTGAGGGTCAGGCCATTAGGCCTACTCTCCCGCCTGACCATGCAAATTTCGTTTCGCTTCTTTTGCTAGTTTCTTTCACCATCTAGCTGGGAAAAAAATGTCAAGTACCACTAGAGCGATAAAATAAGCAATTTAAATTTAGCTCAGAGGCTTCTTTTTGACTTCAGGAACTCTTATATCCATAAAACCTACAAAATGATAGAAGATGGCGGTTCTTTACTTCAGAGAGAAGCAGAACGAAGGAGTTTTCCCCCTAGGGTCGGGTATATCGGGTTTGGTCAGGTTTGAGCCTGCGAACAAACCCAGATTCAGCAGTTCAATACTCTAACAACACCAACACAGCACTGAAGCCGCATGTTCTATGTACTAGATATTGAAATAATTTGACATTATGGCGTTTAGAAATTAAGTAAAGAATTCGGTGATTCATTTGAAATAATGAAGTGACAATTGGATTGAAATGATTAGCTTGTTCAAACACGATAAATCAGGGTCATGCGTTGAGACTAGAAGAATTTGACAATACTAGAAATCGCATTACGCAGGAAGTACACAAATTTTCGAAAAATGAGTCCATGACCTTGTTTCTAAACTAATATTTAATGAAACGATTTCAATAAGGGTAAAATATTTTTTATCATAATTGTAGTTGTAGGAACAGGCCAAAAAATTGAATTTCCGTAATTTTTAAAATATCTAATTTTAAACGAAAATGGGACACGGACCATTCTTTGAAACGTCCTCCACACTATCACGATGGAGACATTGTTTTTGAAAATTTTAAGATGGTCCTGATGATTTGACACATTAGACGTTTTAGAAGAAATTCCATTTATATATTTATTTTAGACATATTTTTGATATCATTTTATATTTGAAAATGTTTATTATATGGTTTACACATTACAAAATTTTTGTAAAAATTTGTATGGCTTTCAATTACTAATTTATTGCAAATGACAAGATATTTTGTAATAAAATACATAATATACAATCGTTATATATTTACAGAATTTTGAGCACAATGTTCTTCTTCGAATTAATACTTAAATGTTGAAATTGTGAAGTAAAATCTCTGCAAAATAACAAGCGATTAGCATGAAGCAGACATTCGCGCGCTTTTTAGAGGATCGGGACGAAAACGCTGAAGCAACGGAAACACACTTCTGCAATTGCTCTATGAATGTTTTGTATGCGAATCTAGGGTTGCATGCGAATATAACATTGGCTGGCGACTGTTTTGTATGTTTATGTGAATAAGTTGTTAATTAACTGCAGGTTGATTTATTTGGTAATTCAATTGTTCACTTAAAGATGTCAAAATCAGTGTTGCCAACGTCGTGGCAGCAAATTATGACGTATTAAGTTAAAAATGCCTTTGGATACTGGTGTTTAATGAACGTCACCTACAATGATCGATTTAGGAGGCGTTGGTTTAATTCTTTGCATTATCACTAAGATACCAGCGCCACAACACGAAAAAAACAGGTTTTTGGAAATTTATTTGAATCTTCTAGCCGGTTCCAAAAACGAATGACCAGTTTCCCATCAGGAGACAGAGACGCGTCGAATGAGACACGTTTCGATTAGTGCACGGGAAGTGGTCTAGCCGCGAGTTACGGAACTGCACACTTTCGCACATCTGCACACTCAGAGGTATACTAAATTACTAAATAGGGGTGTATTTCAGTACGTACGATATCCATTTACACAGTTATGTTTCAATATGTTTCAACACTAATGTGTTACACAGTTGCACATTTACACTATTAAACAAACAAAATTTCAATTTGTATTTATTGACGTTAATTACAAATTGTAAAAAAAGATAACTTTTACATGACATTTGCACATTCTCATTTATACCTTAGAGTTTTTTCTCACAGAAATAAGCCAAAGATGCCCCGCAGGGTAAGTCGGCCAATTTTCCATCTTTCTTAGACATTCCACCGCAGTGCTCGTCAGGTCTGTCTGGCTGCCCCGAGTGCCACAACGCGTATCCAGCCTCATTTATAGTTTCTCCTGTGAAAAAGAATAGTCGATATGTTTTCGATCCAAAAGATATTGATTTACGTAGTAAGTTCTTATAAATTATCTTGTCAATATGTCTTGCAAATTATTATTTACGTTAAATTATAACTTCATATTTTTCAAAATGAAGTAAGATAACTTCTTTGCATTTTAAATTTTTCCTTATACGTAAACGTTTGCAATTAAAACAATATTTGTAACATGAGATCTACTTAATTACAAAATTTTATCACAAAATTGTAGATGGTAAACCGCACAGTTGAAGATTTCATGCCTGCAAACTTCGCTAATAGTGAGTTTTGAAAAACGCAGAAAGAGTTTCATCATAGTGACAGAATATCAAGGCCAGATAACGGGAGACATGAAACGGCAGCGGTGGAAAGGGCAGAAACCCGTAGTTGTAAGGAAAACATTCGCAAGTGATTTGAACTCCCGGACGGAAGACGCATTTCGCAACATTGCGCTTTCGAGACCTAACGGTTGGTTTCGCTTTCGATGTCTCTTCACTGTCTGTCTCCTTACCAGTAACAGGAAATAGTATTTTAGGCAACACCACATATACTGGATTATAGTGCTTCCCGAAAGACAATGGAGCTTAGAGATTGTTCTGGCTGGGACAACGCTTCGCTGGTGGAGATATCTGTATGGGGAAACCTCGTAAGACAACGTTGGTCTTATCATCCATCGGGAGAAGAACACCGCCACATCGCGAGATGAAAACGTGCACTACACTTACGGGTCAAATGTTTGCATTATTTGATGCCGGGGAAAACACGGAGTAATCAATCACGAATTAGAAGTTAGAAGTTCCCGTCTCCTTTGGTGCTGACTGAGAAATGGAACGGACACATCTCTTCGACGCGTTAATTCAAACCCTCCCTAACGCTACCTACGACATTAGTACATCATTTTTTGAACACGTACATTAGTACTTGACCTCTCTTGCCATTCAATTATCTTACCGAAAATGGTGCGATAAATGCCATCTTTTCCATCCGAAAATCCTAGAAAAGCGTCGTGGCTCCAGGAAGCTCCAGGAATAGACTCCGGCGCCTTGGCGAAGATGGCGGAGAGGGCGCCGGCCTCTTCCTGCGAGTTGAGGACGGCGAGGTGCGCGCCCTCTGCTTCGCACGCCTGGCGCGCGTGTTCCCAAGGCAGCGGAACCAGGCTGAGGCGGTACCAGCCCAGCAGAGGAACCAGAACGTACCCCGGCGGAGGCTGCGTGTCGGCAACTGTCGGCAGAGCTCATTAACACTCCGATTCTGAGTGGGTACTGTATGAACCCACGCTATATATTTTTTTGAATTAGTGGTGCTAAAACAGCACATACTTTGTGGCTCGTATTGTGCGTGCAAAATTACACGAAAAGTACACAAATTTTCGAAAAAGTGTACATTTTCTAATATCTAAATCTGTCTTTAAAAAACAGTTTTCATTAAGGGAAACATCTCTCTCTCTATTACGTAATTGTAGGAAGACGGCGAAAAAAGATTGAATTTTTCCAATTTTCGAAAGATCAGGATTTTCAACGAATATAAGACCTGTACCATTCTCTTGAACGTTATTCACACTATCCAACAACAAGACGGAACCAAAAAAAAGTGCCATATTTAAAAAAAATTGTAATGTCCCAGAGGTTTCATGTAAAGTACTCGTACACTCAAAATAAAAATATCGATTTCAAATTCAAGGGGTCTCGAAATCAGTCAGATCGTTGGAAGAACATCAGTTTTGAACAAAATCGGATGAATTGTTTAGCCGCTAGCTTTGTTCACAGACGGGCAGACATGTTTTCCCGTCATTGATTTTCCGGTATCGATGACCCACTAAACATGAACTCTGGCTACACCACGTGTTAAAATAATTTTTTCTAAATTTAGCAACTTGATTTATTCTCTTTTTTATTGCTAGATCCTGTAATAAGAGTTTTTCTGCCCAAAATTAGCTGTTTTTCGCGCAGCTTTACATTACTTTCTCGCTACTCCGTAGCGAAAAAGTAAAAGCTACTGATGGTTTTAAAATATAACTCTGGCAGTTTTTGTATTTGGCCATTAAGGGCAAATGGTAGTTAATTTTGACAAAAAGTGTGATTTTTTGTTTTATTTATCAAAAAAATTCAATCATTTCTCTTCAAGAACATTAAACTTTTCTCACCTTTCTGATATTTAAATGGTTTAAATAGTAATTTAAATCACCCTGCTCACGATCTTTGAAATAGATCACGCCCACTTACTCTGTTCTAGATCTGTTTTCCTTCATTTGTGGGATAGTTTCCGGATATTGTTTGCTAAGAATATTTTATTTTGGGTGTATTAGCTGCTCTTTAGTGATGCTTTATTGTCTTCGTTTATGGAACCTTTATTTATCGCGCAATGTGTTTTGAACGATTTCCCTCTCTGACACAATAAACAGTTGAAGACAAACTCTCAGGGTGCACTTGTAACAACATTCCAAACACGTCTTCACTGGTGCGAAATAGAGACTATTTGCTGTAGAAGACGAGAACTTCTGTCCGTGATTTCCTCCAAAAAATCTAAAGAAATGCCCGAAGAAAATGAAGATCCTTTACAGGAGATACCTCGAAAGGAGATACCTATTAAGAAAGTTGCGAAGGCACGACTGATTCTCTAGAGATTGATATTGCTTCAGATAATCTAGTGTCTGATTGATACTCCCCTTTACACGCATTTCTTCAATCCATCGTTCAAGAATAGTTGCGTGATTAATAGTTGTTTCTGTTTAAATTTTGTGACTGTGAGAGTTGTATGGTGTGTGTTTTCGTCTGTTGCCGAGACAATCCCTGACAATGAAGATAGAATAAAGAAATTTAGCAAACAAAAGTTTTATGGCAATGTTTTACAAAAAAGCCGAGTGAAAATAGTGTAGGTGTTTCCACGAAACCAATTATAACTCAGGAGCAACGTACACGCCAGCGGTCTCATCAAGAAGATTGCTTCATCTAAAAGAATAAAGTGACTTTTTTATACATAGTTGACATAGTGGTTATATAATTGATTATATTGATGTAGCGTCTAAGGTCTCAAAATATTTTGTTAAGTGTAAATTATTATGTACCAGGAATGTGTTGATGTCGTGAGTGGTACACATAGCAAAAATATTAAGTTTTTTTAAAGTATTTTTTTCACATTCAAGTGCAATTGTCGCACAAAATATGTATTTTACATTCATGAAACTAAATGCCATCATTTCTTGTTTGTGAACTATAAATTAAAGTATCATGTTCAAAATGTTTCAAAAGTTTTCTACTATACACAGGAAAAATTTTGAAAAACGTCCTTCATATTATTCACAAAAATATTCTTCGTTGACTGCGCTCAACAGGGTGTAGAAAAGTAGTCTAAATCGTCACAAATTTCGTATTTATTTTCATTAAAACATGAAGTTGGTAACATTTATAGTTTCTCAGGAAATTGCACTATTGACGTTCTACTCCTTCATTTCTCTCTTCCCATGGATAAATAAAATATTTTTTTACAAAACAACGATTATAGATGCAACATTTGTTATCAAACATTTGCTCTAAAAAAGTCTATAATTGCTTGGGAAAAAACAGTTGTATTTTTTTGTTCAATTGAGAGTTTTAACGTTTTGTAATAAGGGAAAATTTGACGCTTACATCAAGATAGAATGTGCCATCTGTTCTTATGCTCTTGTTAGTGCCATGGCCATGAGATGAAAATAATAATAAGTACTAGCGTACCCACGCGAGAACTCTGGCATGTTAATCACCACTCTTTCCCTATCCATTTCCCTATTCTTTTCACGTGAGTTGTTTTCAGCTTTTGTAATCCCCGATTTATATTAATTGTCTCAAAAATTTTAATTAAGAAAAAAATGATGTATTTAACTTTTAACTAATTCTCTATGTTTTCTTTAAGTTTTTACAACAAAGGAAATTACGTTACTTACACCTTTGCGTTATTTATTTTCTTTCCTTTATACTTTCTCGTATACGTACGTATATTTGGAGTAATGTACGTGCGAGAAGTATAGAGAAAGCTATGTAAAGTTGAGCAAAAAACGGTGGATTTTCGGCAGAAAAAAAAGAATGAATCCAATTGCTAAATTGAAAGAAAAAATCCTCTAACACTTGGTGTAGGCAGTATCCGTGTTTCGTGGTCCCTTCATACCGAAAACCGATTGACGTCAAAACGTCTGTGCGTTCGTCTGATGTAAGTGAACAACACTATCGCCTAAACTAGTCGTACGATTTTTTCCGAACTCAATAAATCCCTGTCCACTTGGCCTGAGTCAAATCTCTTCGATTTTAAAAAGCATTCATTAATTTTTGGGGGTACTATAGTTGAAGACCTACGGATTTTTTCAAAGGTTCTCAAAGATGTCTCCAAATTTTTTCTTTCAATTTCTTGTACAAATAGAGTAAAATACTCGTATAAAGGTGGCATTGGTCCCATTTTTACTGTTAACTTTGAATTTTTCAAAAATTTTAAGCTTCAAACTTTAATTTATTTTTCGGCGGCAACCTACAACTACAAAGTTGAAGATAGAGATTTTTCCTTCAAATGAGATTCGTTATCCATACTTAGTCCTTTCATTAAGATCATATACATTTTTTGAAACTTTTGGTAGTTTTCACGCAATATTGCGTGCAATATTTGCCATATAAAAATATTACAAGTACAAGATTTTCACAAAAACGGCTCTAAATGATTTTTTAAAATTATTGTTACAGATTGTACTATCCACCTGTATGATGATATGAACACCATATTGCTCTATTGTTTTAAGTTATAAAAAATATATTTTTTTTACTTCTCTCACGTCGTTAATATTTACTTTAGGGGCGATTTGTTCACATTATTATATTTATGAGTACATGTGTGAATAATCTCAGATACATTTTCTCGAAAACTCAACAGTTTTCTGTTCAAGGAGCTCAAAATTTGGCATTTTCAGAAACACTCAAACGTCATTTACTCAAAAATATCTCCAAAGTTTTCCTTCAAACTTTTCCAACAGTTTAGGCTAAGTGCACTGTTCAATATGACATAAAGTTCAATTTCCAGTAATTTTTGTTTTTACAAAAACTACATAAGTGTGCTATTTTTTAAAATATCTCTCATGCTTTTAATACTCACATTTCCAACAATTTGAAAATAGTATTGCATTTTTGTCAGGAAGTGCTTTAAATGACTTCATATATTTATTTTCGAAAACTCAATACTTTTCTGTGAAAAGAAGTTAAATTTCGCATTCACAGAAACGTTTAAACACCATTTTCTTAAAAACGATTCCAAATTTTTCAATGAAAATTGCCTTTTAGGACGAGGTTTTAGTCTCCTTAAGTATTCTAAAAGTAATAATTCCGTTCTATTATTAGAAAATTGAAAAAATGAGAAAATTTCAAATGAAATGTTATTTGGGCGTCCATAAATGGCAGCCGGCAAGAGGATGTGGCAAGTCAGAATAGCTAGCCCAGACCAAAGTAAATAGGAAAATAATACGAGAAAGTCTATACCATTCTGAAGCATCACTAGTTTTGATTGTCTAGTAATTTATAATTCCTGTGGGTACGGTACCAACGCATCGTATGATAATGGGGCTGCCATGTCATAGCCTACCGTTCTGCTACTTCCTGTACTAACCCTTGCAATCAGAGTTGCCTCAAGGCAGCTGGCGTTATCCGTGCCGTTAAGGTCTTACCCCGGGCATGGGTTGTAATGTAGCCGTAAGCCGGAACGGACTAGACAAGGTCCAAACCATGCAGTAGAAGAAGAAGATAAATAAAACATGCTTTAATATTTTGGATCTGACTATAACCCTTTGTGTATTCTCCTTATTGCTATCCACTTCCTTGCGATAGCATCTATTCTATTCATGTGAGGCACGACAAGAGAAAATAGCCACAAAACTAGAAATTACCCTTAGCCTTTGTTCAAATAAAAAAATCTTTAAACAAGATATATTTTATATTAAAATCAGACGACACGGATGATAATCTTATCATAAATTGTAGCACTACAAAACTTAGTTTGAATTACATCTAGAGAAGTGAAATTAGGCGTACCAATAAAGATTGAAATAAGTTGTATAATTGTTTGGTTTTTTAGTGCTTCTTTCGTTGAACATCAAATAATTATATCATATATCATCTTATCATAAATTATTCCCCTACAAAACATAGTTTGAATTATATCCAGAGATGTGAAATTAGACCTACCAATAAAGGTTGAAACAAGTTGTATAATTGTTCGGTTTTCCACAGTGTTTATATTTTGTTGAACATCAAAGCAGGTTTCTTGTTCTTCTTGTAAGTTGTTTGACATTGGACGAGCAGGTTCTGGAATGTTGAAAATTGCCTAAAAAATAGAAATAAAACGTCATGCTTTCGTGAAAAAAGCGGGAAATATTGCTAAAACTAATAATTTATTATATAAATAATATTGATTGTTTTGGTTCACATTGTATTTTGGCAGTATCGTCGACGTAAGCAAATTTGCGAAAGTGGATCGAAAGTTTATCGTAAATAACCTATTGATTTCATAATACCCTTCTCATACCCTGACGAGACAGTGACCTGTGGCGTTTCGTCGACTGGTTATATGAAAGGAGAAATAATTCGAAGTTTGGCCTTCCGCTGAGCAGAGGTAGGCCATGACACATAATATACCCAAGATGGCGACGTTCCCATCAGCGACCCGTTTGAGTAGAGAAGACATGGCGCCTCGTCATTGTTCTTACCCTTCGGTTGCTATTTTTATATCTTCTTGAAGGTGCCCCTGTGTTTCTATCTCTTTAACTTCAAGCTAAGGTCAACTTACGCGATATATCAAAAGGTTAGAGAGCAAATTTGAGAGATAGATGGAAATTTCAAACATCCTCATTAATGGTTTATATTCTTACATTATTATAATCAGTTAAGGCAAATTGTTCATCAAAGTTGATGATAATTCAAAATATTTATACATGAAATTTTAACATACGTTTCCTAATTGGCCTCTAAAAATTTTCAAGAACACTCTTAGTTATAGAATAAATTAAAACCATTTGCGAAAAAAGTGTTAATTGATAAACGACGCTGATGTTGGGAGCCAAAGATTCAAATTTTGATGCTGTTATGTTCCTAAATATTTAAATTTAGTAATTTTGCCTCAATAGACATACATGTTGTAGGTGGATAGATTGAGAAAACTCTTTCTGAGATACAGATTAACATTTGTGTATTACAAATAATATACTATGTGTAGCCGATATTGTTACAGAATAGACGTTTTTAAAATCTTAATTAACCAAATACAATTAAAATCTAAATAAAAATAATTCTACTGACAAAAGTTTAATTTTTAAATAGGAGTTTCAAGAAATTTTATATTTTGAGAATATTGCGTAAATACTTTCGTTTTCCATCCTGTTGATTTAGGGTTAGTTACACTTCTCTATGTTGGATTGATTAATTCATTACTATTCATTTTGGCGCGTCAAGGACTAAAGTCATTATTCCCGTAAGCGTAGTGCATGTTTATTGCTCGTGAGGTGGCGGTGATTTACCGCTCTGAATCTGGCACTGACCTACCGCCGGATAGCGTTTTTTTTCGAACCAGCTATCTCCTACCAGTGGCGCACTACCCCAGCGTGCACAAGCTCAATGCTGCCAACCGGTCTCCTGGCATGGTTACCTGAGTAGTGCATGTAAGTGTAAGAGCGTAAGGATGGGACAAGAAATGGAAAGACAAAGTCGCGCGTGATTCGTAGCCCATTTGGTAGGGTAGTGCTTCGGCATTCGCCTGGTGTTGATCCGAGAAACCATGGAAAAATATCGCTCAGAGGAGATGGCTGCTAGAATTCTCCTCCAGACAGCGACAGAACTCTTGAAGCTAACACAGCACCAAGCCTTGACTCTCACAACACCAATAAAGTGTCTTCTGTGATAATCAAGTCATTAAGGTGTATCTATAAAACCTTTTAAAACATATTTTGTAACTCCATATCACTCGTGGCAAAAACATCAAATTTAGTGTTTCATTGTAAAATGAGTTATTCTTTATTTTTAACCATGTAGACTGCCGGACTACACTTCTCTAATAATGCTTTGTACCGGGTGTCTTTGTAATCTAGGATTAGTTAATTGCATCCGAACTGTCGAATAGGCAGAACGTGAGATCTTGTTTGAACGGGGAATTACCGGAATTTACCTCGAGTGAGCGCGCTGTTGTTGTGAGTGCAGCCTTCATGGTTTAGCTTTCATGCATTTACGTGGAAATTCACGGAATTGAACAAATGGGTATTACAACTTCCAAAAATTGTCATTAAATGATATCTGTTTGAATGATATATGTTATCATCAGGAGATATTTTTTCTGTGGATTATGTGGTTTCGGTCATTCACTGACGTCGCTGCAGTCGCTCTGAGCGGGAGACGCTGGGGTTCGTGTCCCGACGATGGCAGGATTTTCAACATGATCTCGAAAGCTAGGTAGTATTCAGCCACTGTCTGGAGGAGATTCTAGTCGTCAGCTCTTCTGATCGACAGTTTTCGGTGATTTCGTCGATCCACACCAAGCAAAAGACGGTGAATTATCTTTACAAACGGGCTTAGGACTGAACACATTTTTTTTCTTCCTTTTCTTTGACCTATCCTAACTTTTTACTTACACACTCACACTTACACACTCACACTTATATATATATATATATATATATATATATATATATATATATATTTCATTACGACATATATTTTTGAAGTCCAGTCGGGAGTTTATAGCTTATACCGTCTGGGGCGGTGCTCTGCTGGCTGGACGTACGTGGTTGGGGAGAACCCTGCAAGCCGACGTGAACGGCGGCACCGGATCTCACCGCTGGGGAAGATCTCCGACACCTTCCATGAAAAAACATGTACTCCACTTACAGGACTAATGACTATAGAAGTTTGCGCGCCAGGAAACACGAGAAAGTGAATCAACCAATATCGTGCCTTCTGTGAGTGCCTGCGCCAGTCGTTGCTCTCCATGCGCTGCGTGAGGGTTGCAAGATTGTCTCCAAAACTGTGTTTTTTTCCTTATGGGGAAAAACTGGGGAACATAAATGGACGCGGAAATGTTTGGAAAATGTTTGGGCAAGTTAGTTTCATCAGGAGTCGACATAGAAATATTATCCTCTCAATTATTATGAATAAAAAGCAAACAACAGACGTTATTCTCATTTTTATGAATCAAAAAGAGAAAAATAAACAAGAGCGCAAAGAACAATGATTGGTTAATTTGAGGTATTTAAATTTAAGGCAACAGCTAATGGAATAGTCAGGGAAAGCTCATGTTTGCCCATAATTTGGAGAATATTTTTCTTTTCAAAATTGGGAATTTTGTTTCAGTGGGGAGATTATTTGGAGGAAATTTTGTAGTACAGGTGGGGAGAAAGCTTGCACCACACCTGGCAACTCTGCCCCGTGTACGCACGCACTTCAGTGAGTCTGCAGTGACTCTTGATACCCAGGCAGGGCAATTACCCTCCCTAAGAATGTTTGACGTGAGAAATCGTTCAGAGGAAAATGCGGTTCTGTACTCTAAATACCGAACAGCCCTGCTCGCTATGGACTCAAGATTTACGCCGTATGTTGCTCCTAAACATTTTCACTGAAAATGTAAGAGGTATACTGTGGATAAAAGAAGGATTTAGATTTAGATAAAAAAGGATGAGCCCACACCTCCATATGATAGTGTAAGGAGATTAGTTACGCCCTGGCAAAACACAAACAGGAACGTAACAATAGTCAACCCATTATTTAGCACACTACTGGGGCCACCTCCCGTGAAGGCGATAGGGTTGCTACAGGAAATATTGTCCGTATAAATAACCTTACAGAAAATATAATTTTATAGTCAAACTACTATCAAAACACAGAAAATAATACATCATTAAATTACTTGTGATCTATTCATTGCCAATGAAAAAACTATATTTCACATTCCAAGCTTTTTTCAAGCAACATGACTCCCTATTGCTCTTCACGCGAAGTCATCGATATGTCAAAGAAGAATACTCGTCACTGCTTCTGGCTAGACAATTTTTGTCTAGAGTTGGCAGTATACAATGTGTCTATTAGAGATTTTTTAAAAGAATGTAAATAAAGATATTCATTTAAAACAGTTGTTGATGAATTTTATTTGGACTTAACATGTAATTGAAAATTTATAATTGTACCTACTGTTAGAAATATAAATTTCATATAAATGCTTCAGCATACTTTTACAAATGTGTTGACCAGTGAAACTTCATAATTACGTTTCATGCAAAAGTAATTGTTTTTGTATACTTAAAATGCATGAAGCATTTACTATATTACCTTTCATTATTTCAAAAGTCTTGTAACAACTCGACACACACATTTTTACACCACATCACCACCAGTCTATCGCATTTTTAAGTCTACATATCATTTCCTTTATCATTTACAATATCATTTTCTTTATCATCTGATTTATGCAGAACTTTACCTGCAACTTTGCACATAGCATCCTTTTATGCATTTAAATTTTTTTGTAGGGGTAGTTACTATCGCCATTCGTCTCATAACATACAATCCCTTCAAAAACAATTGCGCAGTTGCCAGACTTTTTACTCCGACTTTTGTGTCGTTGTCATGAGAGTGCTATTCAGTTCTAAACGCAACATTTACTATGCTGCCCGTTTCCTCTGCTTACAGCTCTGATTTACTATATTGTTCGCATAATTTATTCATAATCTATGCTCACAGAAATAAGGCACTCTTGCCCTACATTGTAAGTCATTTAGTTTCCCAGAGTCACGTTCAAATCCTCCACAATCCTGGTCAGGATCGGTATCAGACGCATAATTATTCGGTTGTCCTGGAGCCCAGATAGCATATCCTGCTTCATGAAGAGAATTACCTGTCAAAATGTGGTACAGTATTAATTTTATCTACATTAATAGAATATATTTTTATATGACTAGGCAAAAGCGAAAAGTCTTTTAAATGCAGATAAAGATATGGTAATAAAGAGAGAATGAAGAAATCGAAAAAAAAATTACAAAACATATATTCTACGGGAATCTGTTTTAAGTCCAACACGGGAAAGGAATTATTTTTAAAAATAATATGCGAAACACGCAGTTATGTTTTGTACTACATGAATGCTTAAAAATGTTATTCTAATTTAATATTTCTATACTATCATGTTAAAAAAGATCCGAATGATAACTGTACTTCAATAATAATTGTTTGAGGTCAGTACGGTAAAATCTGTTAATTTTTGATTGTTTTTTCGAATCTTGGTGTAGTAAATAATTAACATGATTTGAAGATTTGAATAGATAACATGGATTTGAAGGATAGTGCAGTGTATGATCCGATCCGCACCGTCTTAGAGATTGTAGATTGTTTGTATCTATGAATACCAAGGTGTAAAACCCCTGCGGTATCAAGAGACCCCTCCGTTGTCCGCAGCAAAAATTTTGATTCTGTTGAAGGTTTACCTAATTTTGCTAAACTAATACATTGAACCTTCAGTTAATACACGTGTTCACTCATTTAAAGAAAATCATATTTCATTTTCAAGTCCAACAATCGAAAGAAAATTCAAAAACCTTTCGCAAACACTACAATTTTATAACAACAAAGTATATAAGTGTATTAAACTATATCATATTAAAATTCATAATATATTAATGAATGTATGATTAATAATTTTCGTTAGTTGGTTAAATACACTCA